CCTGATGGCCAGTTCTGTGCCAGGCGGGCAGCGGAGATTCACCACCAGAAAGGCCTCCCACTTCACCTGGAAGCTGCTTCTCAGGCAGGTTCTCCTTTTGATGGGACAGGTGCACCCCAGTGCCCGTCACAGAGACCGATTCACAAAGATTGCCCTCTTCCCACCCTGAGCCCAGCTCTCACCTGCAGAGGCTACAGCCTCCCTTCTGCTCTGCATGTCTTTTGATGACACGGTTTTCACACCCCATGTTTAGCTAAGGGTGACAACTTTTTAGGTGATTGCCTCCACTTGTCAACACCACACTGCTCTCCAACCCCCAAGCAGGTGGGCAAGGAGAAGGATTAAACTGTATCCTAAAGCAATAACTAAGATGCTTTCGGAGTTATCAGGAATATTACTCCTGCCTGAACAGGCATGCAGCAATGTGGAACATGCCTCAATGGGAACCAATTCTTCTCTTTTTTTGGTAATTAATGGACTTCATCTGTGTTTCCACCACAGAGCACCTTTCTTCTGACTGGTTATTGTGGTGCTAGAGCTCCTCAAGACCATTCACCAAGTCCAAGCCAACCTAAAGGCTACTAGGACTGCCTATAAAAAGAAAGAGGAAGACCGGCAGCATCAACAAGTTCCTTTGTTGGCAGTAGGTCAGTAGTTATGTCCAGTAAGAAGAAGGGCAATCAACAGTTATCAGAAAAGGAAAACAATATTTACTTTATTACTCTACAGCAATTTAACACAATGGATAGTACACTGCATTTGTTGCTTCTTTCTCTCTCCTCCGCCCGACGAGTATTCATGTTTTGGCCAGGTGTAGTAAGTCCTGCTGTTTGGAGAACTGACACCGCTGTGATCTCGTTGTGCTCCAATGCCTCAGAGGAAGGCGAAAAACCCCCCACAGCCAGTATGTTCTTCAAGGGAAACAGGGGGGAAAAATTCCTTCCTGACCCCAACTGGCGACCGGCAAAAGCCCTGAGGCCTGGGATTGGAAAATGCCACACACACTGCAAGAGCTACCTGGATCCCGCAACTGAGGGACCAGAAATTCATGACACCAGTTCCTTGCTCCCAACACCTTGATGGGCAAAGTGGGTGGAAGAATAAGCCAAAGTCTCCCCCCACTGGTAACTTCTCACGTTTGGGCAGATGTTGAAATCTCTCCAAGTTAAGGCTAGCTCTGACTGATTCAGGGGGTGTTTGCATCAGTAGATGACCCCAGCGTGGTGGCTGATTCCGGGCTGGAGGTTCCCTCTGGGGCTGTCTTGCTGCCTGTGAGGCTCTGGATGGTGAATTTGTTCAGGGAGGTGCTGTCAGCCTTGCTGCTGGTTGAAGCTATCACCATAAAGGGCAAAAATAAGCAGTGGATGATCAGATATGCACACTGGTGCATTTAAGTCTTCTAAACAGGAGGGTAACGGTGATGGGCTATGTGACTCTGCCTTGTGCTTCAGACACAGAACTAAATGCCTAAGTGGTTACACCAGTCTTCTAGGATGTGGAAGACCTGATTTCCAGCCCCATTAATTATAGGGAAGATGAACATACACTGCCTGGTGTGTAGGGCAGGGACGGAGGAAATGGGTCCTGGCAGTGGCAGGAGGAGAAGGGAATGGGGCCCAGGGGAGAGCTGATGCCAGGCCAGGTGTCTTTGGGGACAGGGGAGAACTCCCCACACGCCAAAGGGAGAAGGTTTGTGTTGGTGCCAGGAGGCTCGATCTTTCTTTTCACAGGTCCCTGCTCCACAGGGGCAGAGGAGGGGGAACGGTACCTGCGGAAGGGACCTTGGGTTGCTGCAGAGGGCAGGGGGTCCTGGAGGAGCTTGCCAGCAGGCTGTGGCCTTGCAGCTCTCTGGGCAGCTGTTTGAAGCCCTTCATGACCAGCAGCTTCCTCATGATCCTGGCGGGGGTTTCTTCCTCCTGTGAAGGCACAAGAGCCAGTGAGACACGTTTTTCCCTCTGGGAGGTGGCAGCCACAGGAGTGTCACAGCACCAGGAACCAGAAGAGTTTACCCAGCCCCTCCCCATCTATAAGAGATGGATCAAGCACAACTTCTAAGACAGACTCTTTTAGGCTGCTTGAGACAAGAACGATCCTTCTTGGAGCAGGGATCGACCTAGATGAGTGCCTGAGAGGTCTACTCTTCTATGACTCCATAGCCCAAGTCCACTTGCGGTGAACTGGACCCCTGTGGGACTATGAAGGAGCCCTGCCCTTAACCTAGGCCATGGCAGCTTCTCCTGATGGACTTGTACATGTTGTCATAGGTCATGGCTAATGATACGCAGCTGAAGGGGCTGTATTTTTGCAGGGGGCACGCTGGTGCCATCCTGAGCATACAGCTGAACTAACCCCTTTCTCAAAGGCACTTGCCAGGGTTCCCATTTCCTTTCACACTTGTTTCCCCAGGCCACCAAGTGTCAATGGCATGAAGTGGCCTAGAGGTGAGGGGCCCTATGCCCCTCTACCCACTCCCTGAGCCCGACCCTCTGCTTACCTTGTCCCCGATCAGGTGGCCGGCTTCCCCCAGCATGGCGTAGAGGAGGATCAGCGCAGCACGGCTGACACACACATTCATGTCCAGCACCCCCGCAAGTGCCCTCTGCACAAAAGACCCCCTTTACCCGCTCCCTGAGCCCGACCCTCTGCTTACCTTGTCCCCGATCAGGTGGCCGGCTTCCCCCAGCATGGCGTAGAGGAGGATCAGCGCAGCACGGCTGACACACACATTCATGTCCAGCACCCCCGCAAGTGCCCTCTGCACAAAAGACCTCCTTTGCCCCTCTGATAAGATTTTTTGAAACACCTGAAACCAAGGGGACGGAAAGTGTTTGCATATCCCAGAGCCAGGCTCTATGTCCAGGCCAGCCCCTCACCAGGGCAGTAGTGGGAACCTTGTGAGCTGCAGAGCAGGCCTTTCTCTACAACCCAGGAAAGCCAGTCCAAGGACACACAGCCCCACACCCTGAACTTTGCCAGGGCTGGGCAGAGCATCCTTACCTCCCCAACTTCAGCCAGGCCCACGTAGCTCTGGACCTGGCTCTGCTGTTCCCGGCTTAGATGAAGCAGCCCCTCTGCCTCCTGCATGTCTTGGCCTAGGACAGACAGAGAGATCTTACTCAGAGCTGGCATTGTGGCTTCATTGCTTGGTGTGTGCCTATTGGGGCCAACACTACAAGCATGGCACCATGTGCACATGGGTCCTGGCATGGTTTCATTGTCCTGAGTCCTGAGTCATATGAGGTGATCCAGGCAACCAAGGTATCCTGTGACCTTTATGTTCTGGGGGGCCTTGGACTGGCTGGCTGCTTCAGACAGGGTCAAATATTGGAAATGCCCGCAAGTCAAGCGCTGCTCCAATTTATTTCCCTGGCAACACCCCCAGGCTCTTTCTTGTAGTCTGTGCTACTGCTCCTGCCCAGCGGGGGCTCTTTCACTCCATCTCTCTCCCAGCATCTTTCCTTTCCCCACTTTCGAGGGCAGGCCCTGAACATGCTGATTTTCCTAGCCTAAGGCCAAGCTAGACTCTGGAGTGAAAGGGCTGGTGTACACTAATCTGGGTGTGGAGAAATGTCGCCAGGGGAAGCTTCTTGTCCCCGAGCTGGGATCAGTGTGTGGGCAGAAGGATTGTTTCCATAGGGGTCTTGCACCCTGGCTGGGATTCCTTACCCTTGTGGTGCAGCAGGATTTGGGCGAGCAGGTAGATGCCCTCCCTGGCCTGGCAGCTGATGTCTGCTGCTGGGTGGCTGTGGGACAGACACAGCTGGGCCGCGGTGTCACCCATCTGGGGCATGTCGGGCGAGTCCTAACAAGGGGAATAGGGGAAGGGAATGCATCTGCGTCCTACCTTGCATCACATACACTCTTCCCCATCCTGGGTGTCTCTGTCCATTTGCTCCTGCTGCCCCATGCCACAGGAGGGGTCGGGGCAAAGGAACTAGAGCCAGAGCATTCAAGCCCTCTGTTCCCATCACAGCTTGGAGCCAAGGAACTTAAGCTGGTCCCCTGGAGGTCTCCCTGCCCTGCTGCTCCAGGAAGGCCAGGACAGCCACAATACCAAATGTGACACTGACAAAAGACCCAGGAGGCACCCCTGAGCCAGGGGCCCCTTACCTCAAACTGCAGGAGGAGGGAGACAGCAAAGTGGAGAAGGACGTTGCTGCTTCTCATTGCCTTCGCCCTGTCCATGGTGTTGGGAGACTACAGCCAGATTATAAGGTGCTGTGGGAGAAACAAGATCAATGGCCACTGGCCCCTGCTGTACTCATGAGCCCATCCCCATGCCCTGCCTCAAGCATGTGCCACGTGGGACTGTGAAGGGACTATGGCCCCAGGGATGTTGCACCTGCCCTGCACCTCACCGCCTCTCCGTGTCTTGAGACTGGCATAAAATTAATATTCAGGCTTCTCTCTCTCTACAAATGTCTGATTCACAGATAATGAGTTGGGAAGGGGACCCACACCTCAATCCTGCCCAGACCCAACAGTCAGGACCAGGACGACCATCCTTAACTTTGGGGCCAGTGCCTCAAGGCTCTCCAGGCCTGGTGCAGACAATACAGATGCCTCAGGACAAATCTGTCTCTCTCCTGACAGGGCAGGGATTCATCCCTGGGGACAACCTTGGGCAGCTCACAGGGCACTGAGGCTGTCCCTCCCCAGAGCCCAGCTCCTCCGCACTGTGCTCACCTCCCAAAGGAACTGCAGCCTGTCCAAGCTGGGTGCGGTGGCCAACAGGCTCCTCAGCATGGCCTCCAGGTCCTCCATGTGCTTCTGCTGTTTGGTCTGCAGGGGAAGGAAAGCCAAGGCTCAGTACCATGCAGCCCGGGGCTGCACGTGCCAGGGTCTGGTGGGCAGGACTGTGTAGGGGGAGGAGGACTGACCCTGACATAAAGGCTGTTGTGTCTTGGGGATGTCAGGCAGATCTTCAGGGTGGTCTGCAGCAGGCATGACTCCATGGCTGGCTCCAGGGCTGGCTTCAGCTCGCTGCCAGGAGAGAGGATCCTGTGTGAGACCGAGCTCTATGGGGTTGGCAGGGTCACTGCTCTGGGCTGGACACAGGCTGGGGAGTCGGCATCAGCTGGCAACAGTGAAGCAGGAGCTGACATGTGGTTACAAAGCGGCTGAAGTCTCCCAGCCCATCAGCATCAGGTCTGCAATAGAGCCCCCTCTACCCCTGCCCCTGTGACCCTGCTGCCCTCCTGTAAGACCCCCACAGCTATCCTCTTTTCAAGGCTCTCCTGCCAGTCCTGGAGGAAAATACCTCCCCAGCCACAAGGAAGTGATGCTCTTGCTCTTTGGTATAAATGGACGATGGCCACTCGGGGCAGGTGATTTGGCTGGGGTGGTGAGGTCCAGGGCCTGACCCAGGGCCAAAGCCAATATCAGGCCTGGAGGTGTTGGGCAGGGACACCAGTACCTGAGGCTGCAGATGGCAGCCATGCTGTAGCACAGGGTCCTAGTTGGGTCTTCATCCACTGCCACCGTCTCCATCAGGCCCTGGAGAGACCCAAACGACCATGTGAGATTAGGGGCCCCACAGGCCCGTCCTGTGGTGGAGACCACCCAGTACTCCAGGCACAGGCACATGGATCTGATCTCTATGGCAGGCCCCCTCCAACATTTCCCTTAAACGACCCACAGTGCTCAGTGCTTGGCCAAGCTCACCATGATCTTCTGTAGTAGGACCACTTTGCAGGTCTCCGGCTCCAGAGTATCCTCTCCCCTCTGCTTGGTGTCGCTGCAGAGTGTGAGGATGGTGGGAAGGAAGCCCTCTTCATGCTCCTTGTCCTGCATCCCCGCAAAGTGGGACAGGAGATAAGACAGGGTGTTGGCCAGGGACCTTCCTGTCCTCCCCAAAGGAAATGTGTGACTAAGACCCCTTGGTTGCCCCACTATCCTTGCACTGTCTCAATTTGGAGACCTTTGTTCATGTGGTATGGCCAGTCCCAAAGGCTAGAAGGTGGGAGTCAAGGGTGGGCTGGGTGCGAGCTCCCCTGGGGAAGTTTCCTACCTTTTCTTGGCCCTGGAGGTGAAGTATGATTTCTGTGAGGGCTTCTCCCTCCAGCAGCATCAGGTCTTCACCCTCGTGCCCTTCCTCCACCTCCTCGTCTGGCTCGTAGGGAATCACTTCACAAGGGAAGAAAGGGAAAAGGGTGATTCCTGCT